CTCCACTACTTGTTATGGTGGAAGAATATTCCATTATATAGATATGCCACATTTTATTTATCCATATAGACAGTTTCTACTTTTTTCCTATTGTGACTAATGCTGATATAAACATTTGTGTATGAGATTTTATGTGGACATGTGTGTTCATTCGTCTTGAGTGTGTAACTGTGGAGTTGCTGGGTCAATTACTTGTTTAATCATATGAGAAACAAAAGAAGCTTTATAATTTTAAAGTTTCCTCCAGCAGTGTATGTGGATAGTGAATCTTTTTTTAAAAATTGTGGTAGAATATATATATATATATATGGATAGATAGATAGATAGATAGATAGATAGATAGATATAGATATAGATATATATAGATATAGATAGATAGATATATAGATATACAGATATATATAGATATATATATATAACATAAAACATACCTTCTTAATCATTTTAAGTGTACAGTTCAAGAGCATTGAGTACATTCACATTGTGGTACAGCCAATCTCCAGAACTCTTCATGTTGCAAACTGAAACTTTGGATCTGTTAAACAGCACCCCATTTACCCTGCCCCCAGTCTCTTGGGGACTCAACTTTCTGTCTCTGTGAGTTTAACTACTCAACATACCTCCTGTAAGTGGAACTTTCTGTGATTAACTTATTTCACTTACTGTAGTGTTCTTAAGATTCATTTATATCATAGTATATGTCAAAAGTTCTGTCCTTTGAAGATGAAATTATATTTCATTGTGTCAGATGACACTTCTATTTATCCATTCATAGGTTGGTTCTACCTTTTGGCTATTACCAATCGTGCTGCTATGAGAATGGGTTCACAGAGGAGAGTGAATCTTAACTTTTTTATGTGTGTGTAAGAAACCTAAGCAGACTTATGCATCATCTGAAGACCTGTACCCATAACCTTGATTCCATTTTAGGTGTTTCTAACACAGGGTGTGGCTCCAACCCTAGGAAGTCAAGGCATAGGATCACACCACTTGGGCCTCTGAGTGAAATCTGGTTCACACCTTCTCTCTGCTGTTTCCTTCAATGACTTGCACATCAAAAGTGGGCACAGGGCTGGAGATGTGACTCAGTGGTACAGTACTTTCTGGGCATGCATGAGCCCCTGAGTTTGATCTCCAGCAACACACACACACACACACATAAAAAGTTAAGACACAAATTGACTTTGTGCTTCTTCCTTTGCATAGCTCACACATTTTTCCAAACAAAATCTTTGCAAGCTTCAGTCTGCCTAACACCAAGAAGACCTAAAGCAAAAGAGGTCATCTATAGTATCCCACTGTGCCTGTAATGACTTTTGGAAAGTGCAGGAACCATCGTTTTAGGAACAGGCATAAGGAAGCCAAAAGCAGAGATATGCCAGGCCACAGGGCAATGCTCATCCAACTCAGAATCAATGTCATCTCTTCCAGAGAGAAATTAGGAAGGTTATGATACAGGAGGAGCAAGAAAGGATGATCAGAGTTTCCATGATTGAGCTGAATGAAAGTGTTCACTGATGATTTGATGAAGACATATGTGTGCTGAAATTATTACTAGCAGATGATGTAGTCAGGGACAGGTGTCCAAGGCTGGAAGCTAAATCGGTAACCTATTTACCAGGAGATCTTTGTCAGACTGACAGCCAGCTGGCTATGTGACCTTGGGCTACTTATTTGATCTTGCTGAACCATACTTCCCAACCCTGTAAATTGGAAGTAATCTTCAGAGTGTTACAAGCCTCTGTTTCTGAAGCATCATTGAATGTTGTGCTAGCTTGCCACTAACATTAGTATTTACGAATGGAGGATAAAGATTTCTGAGAAGCTCCTAGAAAGCTTCTGTTACTATTGTTGAACTTGAAATACTGAGATACTGACTGGAAGAGATAATATCCATGAAATCCAACAAATTAGTTGAAGAAGAAAGGCTGGAGTGAATGGCCTCCCACATAAGTGACTAAAAGAAGACTCTGATTCACCTGTGAAAAGAATTGTGAACTGCATGGTAAACTCTGAATCTAAACAACTAAATGATGAATATTGATTGTAAGTTTAATGCTGATATGTTTTTAATATTTCATTATATGAACAACTTATGCTATTGGTCAGTGAGAAACACTCTAATTTCAAGAAACTTTTATAACTATAATTCTGTACTTCTGAAGAGGGACAGCTGTCATAATGACTAGCTTGATAGATCATCTTAAGTAGTACAAGATACAGAGAACCTTTTAAATGATTAAGAAAGATTGTTTCATTTGGTGCACTGACAGTGTTAAATCTATTTAATCATGTTCTAATTGTTTAAATTGGTGAAAATTTATAATGTACTTTGGAATTATTAATTAACGTAGAACTTAAAATTTAAATGGAACCAAATAGTAGCTGACTTATGGAAGGCATCTGGAGAAGTGGGAGTTAATCCTTCACAATTCAGCTCTGCCGCTTTCTAGCTGAGCTAGGAAAGGTTTTAACAAATTGCCTAGCCATTTTTTTTTCCTCCATTTCCTTATCAGTAAATTGGAGGAAATAAGTGCTTTGGATAGTATCTACAAGGCAGTGGTCACTCAATCAGTGTTGTTTCATTATTACCATTGTTGTTATTGTTTCAGTTTGCTTGGAACTTGAGCTCACATTTTCTTATTTTGCCTCATAATATCCCTGTAACATAGGTAAGGCAAGTGTCATTAATAAAACAAGTAGAGATCAGAAATGTGACTTGCTCATAGTCTCAAAGCGAGGAAGTGTTGGTATTGGGAGTATCAAAATGTTTGGGCTGATAATCAAGACTTGTTACCATCTCCTGCTCAGTCATACTGGGGAAATGTGTGTCATTCTCTTCCTTGGATACTCTGTCCTGAGTAGCCATGTGTTCTTGGGGTCCCAAGTTAAGGCAGAGAAGCTGAGGACATTTAAGATTTTGTGATCAAGAATCATTTTAATGACCTCAAGTGAACACCGGCATCATGAGGGCCTCAATGCCTAAGTTAAAGGAGTTTCATTTGGCAAAAGCTGTGTGAACCACTTTTTATAACAGCTAAACCTTTTACAACACCTTTCATGTTTAATAACTTCCAAACATGCTAATAAGTAAAAGAAGTATTGGCAGAAGTGATAATAGAATTGAACCTGAAAATGAGAACTTTACCAAATTCTAAAATTATTTTCTCCAAAGTCTCATCCAGAAATCTTGGCTACTTCAGTGGATTCTTCATATCTTGTGACATGAAGCATCCTTTTATTAGTACTGGGAAAATGACAAGAAGGATGCAAATAGTTCTGATACCTAAGCAACAAAGATATTGCTTAGATCCATACTTGCCCTCCCCCAAATCTAGGCGCCATTGTTGAAAGGTGAATGTTCTAGCCCAATTGTATGAACATTAGCTAAGAGAGCTCGGTTGATACCAGTCAGCCATATCCACAGATAAAGAAGTGCATAACATAATAGAACTGCGTAATCATTTACCAAAGAGACAAAATGAAAGAGAGAAGCCAAAGACAATTTGATATATCCACTTCTATTTTATAGAACCTGGTTCTACTCTTATTTTTTCAGCCCAAATCCTGCCAAATATTCATTTGTATTTTAACAATAGAGTAACTAGTGAAATTCAAGCTCATTTTAGTCACCTAATCAAATATTATCATAATTAAATTAGAAATTTTAACTCATGTAAATTGTTTTATTTTTCTGTCATGCTCTATGCTAGTTAATAAAATAAATATTTCTGGGTTATCTGAGAGATTTTGACACAGATGCAAAGTGTCAGTCTGTTCTTTCTCCCTTTAGTCCCAAGAGCTGGAATGAAATCACCTGATTTAATCATTTGGAATCCATGTGGCTCCTCTGAGATAGGGCCAGATGTAACCAGAGGATTTATAAGGTGTAAAATTCAGAATGGATTAGAAAGCCTTTCTGTGTTCAGCCCAATACATCCTAAATCAACATCCCCTGAATGGACCAGAGCAATCTCTGTCTGGCCTAGTGGGGAAGTTGTCATGGCAACTGACTGGCAAGCTCCGCCAGTGGAACATGAATGCAAACAATAGAGTGATAAGACTGTTTAAAGCAGCATACTAAGGCTGTTTCTACCCAGGTACAGTGACATGTCAAAGAGTGAAGCTGTCTTTGCGTTTTTGTACCTTCATGCAATTTTGACTACTAATTTGAAATTTATCAAGTGTCCTTTCCAAGTGATTGGTTTAAAAACATTCTACTGATAGATAACTGAAAACACCACTACCCAGTAGATAGATGTGACGCTGTGTACAAAGCCCTGGAGCACTGTTGGGCTAGCTATACAAAATTTTCCTAAAGGAGATTGAAGCAAGCTTAAGGTAAATCCTATGACTCTTTAGTGCCACCTTGTGTCCTAGTAGATACTGGGCATTTCCTGGAAGCCACCCACCCCATCACTGGAGAGCAGCAGGGCAGGCGTGGAAAAAGTTAGATCTGAATTATGTTAGAACTTGGCAGTCACTTTCCCAACAGAATATGCACAAGATATTTTCTAAACCTCAGGCTGATTAAAAATAAAAATGAATATCTTTGGTAGAATGTGGATATGGGAAAAAGGAAATGCCAAATAATGCCTGTTTTAGAAAAGGTTGGAGGCGGCCACATGTGGGCCAGGGTTGTAAGGAAGAGATAGCCAAGACAGACTCAGTGTATAGGATTCTTAATGATGCCATTACTAACTCTTGGAAAAGAATACTTCTTAAAGTCTATTCAGCTATGCTGGTAACATGAATGTATCAGTGGGGAAAAATAAAATACTCCAATTCTATATCATAACTCTTTTATTCATGGTCTTTGGGTAGCAGGATGGTAGTTTGGCTGAAATGATGCTCATGTCCACTTGTCATCTCTTACCCAGATCAAACCCACACCCACTATTGCCCCACCATCACTTTTTCACAATTCAGAATCATAATCGAATCCCATTTAATTTCAGAAATGTAAATGACCAAGCTGTGTTCCTGTGTGTTTCCTCCAGGGTTTGAGTTTTTTGAAACAAGTGCCAAGGATAACATTAATGTCAAGCAAACATTTGAGCGCCTCGTGGATATCATCTGTGACAAAATGTCAGAGAGCTTGGAGACCGATCCAGCCATCACTGCCGCAAAGCAGAACACAAGACTCAAGGAAACCCCTCCTCCACCGCAGCCTAACTGTGGCTGTTAGTGCCCCTCGCACACAGGCAGCTCCAGGGGGCTCCGGTTGCCAAGAAACAGCATTCATAAATGGTCTATTAGCCTTCACTTATACTGCCTAATAATTATTTGAAGGAAGTCTTTGATGTCAATGGCCCGTTCATGCATTCAAATCTTGGGAGATTTATTGTGTTAATATGTGGCAAATATGTGATCTTAAATTTGTAAGGACTATTCATCTATAAAAATCTGGTACCTGCATGTGACTTGTTATTTACTTGTCTTCAAGTTTCATTTCTTTTTGTTTTTTCAAATTTCTTCTCAGTTAAGCTACTGCTGGGACTTCAGACTACCATTTTGTTACATCTGACTTTTGTGCCATGGATTCAAACTATGCTACTCACTTGTAGAGATGATGAATAAGGAGTTGCTTGAATGTGTATGTGTGAGCAGGGCGAGATGGCAGGAGACTTAATTTGCTTTCCTCTTAACTGAAAATCAAGTGAAAATGTTACTCTTTAGGGACAATGTCACAGGTCAATGTCACTAGAAACAATGTATCTATTTTTCATTCATAATTGAGGAGGCCATTGACTATAAGTAAATTGAAATATTGTTTTTAAGGCCATTACTAAGCCATTACTATTAACCTGACTGGAACCAGATTTAAACAGTTATATCAATTTACATATTTAAATAAGCAAATATCCTTCCCCAGGACTGCTCTTTCCACTAATTCTACCCAACTTTCTGAATATTTAGGAGCACTGAGCAGATGAAAAGGTATCTACTGGAAGCTAGTTATGCAGTAAGTGTTTTAACCAAGAAGAGTGTGAGTAGCTATAGAATTCCAAGACCTGAGCTCCCCTACTTCCTTAGAGGCTTGCTCCCCACCACACATTCCTGTACTACCACCACCACCACCACAACTCTCTGGAACCATCAACATTCGGAGTAGAAGTTAGGTTGAACCTTGTTAGTGCTTCTATTCCTGTAGGATATAGACTTGCTTCCCCAATCGTTGCCTTCTGCTCAAACCTCAGCTATGTTCTTCTGTCTATATAGAAGTTGTTTGAGTAACGTTTCAATGGGTCCTAAGTTGAGGAAGGACTGATTTCCTCTTGACTGTTTTTTAATCTGGGTGTTTGTAATTGTGTAAGTCTTTAAACATGCTTACTCTGCTTAGAGAACACTCTGTAGCTGAAAGTTCCAGGAAACCTTTGTATCTACAGCAATTTGAAAAAAGGAAAGGAATCATTTGAACATCCAGACTTTTACCCCAGATTTTCTGAAACCAATGTATAAATTACAGACAACAGATTCCAGTGTTGTGTGGAACCCTGTTGAGGAACTTGGCATTGTGTCAAAGTCCAGTACTATTTACAGTTAGGAATTGGGGAGGGCAGTGATCAGTGCTTGACAGATTCTGAAAGTCACTTCCATTAGGTTGACTTTCTCTTTTTTAGGGGGTTGTGTTAAGGATTTTTTAAAATCTTTTTTTCAAAAACAGAGAAGTGAAAATATTGGGTGCACATTTATTATTTAAGGGTACTGATAGGAAAATATGCATGTATCGAAAGATGTCTCTGGAGAATAAATACCTACAAGTCAGGGAACTAAGTCACACACATTATCAGTAACTTAAAAGGTAAAAAAAAAATGGAAAAGAGCATTTGGGGTTTTTAAGCATATCCATGCTCTTTTTTTTTTATCTTTCTTAGTTTCAGTTCCACTAATTGATAATAAATTTCCACTCTCACATCCTGTAAGAGTGAAGACAAGAAAACATTAATGTTTTATTAGAATTTAATGGGGAAGCCTAAACCAAGTGTTCACTTACACAGTGTTGGACCACTATCCAAGTCAGGGGAGAGCGATGCAACAGTACCCCTGGTGTTCTTGCCAAGGTTCATCCCACAATTTCTATCTTCCAAACCCTAATGGAAGTGAAGAGTTCTGCATTTATTCTTAATTCTGTAATTGCCACCCTGTTGTGAATTTCATTGCAAATAATTCAATGAAATTTTTCTACAAAAGAATGTTACAGAACTTAAAAGAAGGAAGACCCATATCCCTGATTTAACACATGCCAAGAGGAGTGAATATTCTCTATTCCTAATCTCATCAAGATATCCTGGTTTTTAAAATCAAATTTGGCAGATAGAACAACCAGCCCAGGGTTAACTTGGTGAGCTTCTATTGACATCAAGCTATACTGTTTATAATTATAGTACTATAGTGCCAAGGTTTTTCAACCATTTGGCCACTACACATATGTACACACATACTCACATGCTATACCTACATCTGCCAACAGTCCAAATATCTACACGTCATTTTTACCAATGCCTAATCAAATTTTTACCTTGCATAACTAAATTTGTACTTAAAAGAACAGGGCATCTTTAAAAGTATGCACTTGTGTTAGTTTGTAAACCTTAGACATCTTCTCTTTTCATCTTTGAGGCAATTAAATTAGTATTTTAAGTCTAAATTTCTCTTCCTTTGTTCATCACCTGGCCATTCTCCACACCTCAAAATACAGTTAGGAATAACTCTCAATTGCTTCAGGAAGCATCTTCCTGACTTAAAATAGGGTCAGTTGAGGGTCAATATTCATTTGATGCCTAGTATATAAGTGCTAGGATTTTTATTTGGAAAACAAACTTTGATGATGCCCTTCAGTTTTATCAGAAAGGTGCAGCATGTGATGATATATGTGAAATATAAATTACAAAATTACAACTTACACTATTTAAGACAAATATATATTTCACCTACTTAATGCCTACCCAGATTAATTATAGACATTTTGTTGATTTAGCACATTAGGTATTTTTTTATGTGACGGATTAAACTTCCAATTTTAGCTACACTATGCTGACAGATTTTCAGGTATACAGTTCTTTTTTTTTTAAAGGTAATGCATTCCACTACTAAACTTTCATAAAACAACATTAATCTTGGACTGTCATAGTTGATAATCAGTGGTTCATTGTGATGTGCTTTATCCAACATCTATCTTAGTGCATGGTTGAGGATGTCCTACAATCTTAAGTTACTGTGTGGCATTTGTGGGACTGTAACAGCAATGTATCCACCCTACCAAGCAGTAGCAAGCTGAGGTAGCAGCTGCATGAGAAAAACTGTGATGTACATCTTCATTTAAAGTCATGACTGAAATCTTTCTAGACCAAAAATTAGTGTGTTTGTTAATAATCCTCATAGTACAGTTAGAGTGTTCAATCAGGTATTTTTAGGGAAACAGACGTGGGAGCTTGCCTGTCTAAGGAGCCCTTTGTCTCTCAATCACTGATTGCATGACAGGAACTCTGTTCCTTTGTATGTACACTCACTCAGTGTGCTCTGTCAGGGTGCCACATGAGCAGCTAGACCCAAGTGATCTTTCTAATCATGCCCAGAAAAATGATCTACTGCTCTGCTCAGCTCTGCCTATTTGAGAGTCCGACCTGTGCATTAGAAGTTTGGTAGTAATGGTGAAATCTTGCTGATATACTAAGCCTTTTAACATTAATGTCAACTTTTTCAAGTTCTTTACATTTTAGATGAAATTTTGACCAAAGTCTGTTACAGATATAAACCTGTTTTATACCCTAGAATTCGCTGGAACAAATTAGGCAAAAGATAGTGTTTATGACCAGAATCTTCCCCTCATCTTAATTATCTTCACCCTACACTACTCCTCAAGGGCTCAAGGTACTAGAAATACAGTATTCCTTAAGGAGGCAAAAACAGGTTGGGAAATTTATCTAAAATGTAGCTACTTATCATTATTGGTATTTCATAAATAAATGTATTTTTAAATATTTCTACAAATGCTTGACACTCTAGCCAAATGATATTTCCCTTTGGTAGATTGAAACAGTTTCTCCCAGGCTACACACATTGCTGCCCCTCCCAACACACACTTACAACCCTGATACTTTTTTAGCGAAGGGAAAATTCCATCCATGGTGCTTTCTCAGGGCTAGGGGAAAAGGGGGTGTTTGCTAAGTGCCAACTGTAGCTCACATCTTGTTTTTAAAGGCCCATGAAATAGATTCTTCACACTGATTTGATGAGTCTGTGTGTCTGTGTGAAGAAAGAATTCCCATTAAACAGAGGGTGGAGAGAAAATGCATTCGGCAAACATTCTAGTAAAAGAAATGAATTATTTCAAAAATCCCACAGATAGCTTGGGTTGTCAGATCAGATCATCTAGAACTTTTTATTCATGTTTTTCTTTTGTACTTCCTGATTTGTTTTTGTTTCAGGGTTTTAAAAGCATTATCCTCAGAGACTGAGAGGACTAAGAATAGTAAGTGAGACTCAGATTTCACCATCTATTTCCTATCTGCAGCTATTATTGGTGGAGTTTCAACCAGTCATTACTAGCTAAACTGAGGCTGGGGGGTTACCTGTGTATTTCATTCATCTGTGTTCATAATTTCATTGTGGACAATTGAGAGTTGGCTGTAACTATTGCTTAATGGATATATTTTTATATTAATGTTATTTGGGGCCAAGGATCACTTAAAGTTCATGAGTGCTATTCTTATAGACACAAATGGTACATGAGCCACATAGACACCTGGCCTTTCAGGGACGTGAGCATGACTTACATCTGACTAGTGATTCCATATTCCTCCTTGTCAAAGTGAAGTTTGGGGATGTTTGCTGTGTCAATATGACGATTTTCATGCATTGTCTCATCATCCATAGGCAGTGTGCTGAATGAAAACTGTCCTGTAATTCCTGTTATATATTGTTAATGTCAGATGTGATGTGATACAGTTGGACTGTCCAAATGTACAACTATTTAATGGTGTTTGTAGAACTGAAATGTCTTAAATGTTGCATGAAATATGTTCTAAAAATAGATTTGTTTTCTATTTTTCAACACCTCAGAATTGAGGGTTCATGGGCCAATAAGTGCAATATTTAATGACTTACTCAGTGTATATAAACTAGTGTGCAAAAGTGAATTCTAATGAATGTGTGAGATGCTTTGATGGCTGTATGCTTATTCAAATGATTTCTTGTAGCAGTATTTGTCTAGTGGTGCAATTTATACAGTAAATATCTTATTGGTGTCATGTGAAACTCCTCTGTGCCTACTTCAAAGTACTTCTTTTCCTATAAGACCAAATGTTTAGTATCTGCAAATACATGTCAATTTTACCTTTTGGAACTGTGGATTTTATTTTCAAAACAGAATAATTATGAGTTTATTTTATAAAAGCATTCCTTTGATAATTCAGAATTCTTCTTAAGCCTCTTGTAAGAGTGTATTAAGCAACTAATTTAGATACTATGGGGAAATATGTGCATAAAGAAGTGACTATTTCTCTTTTCAGAAAGGTTGATCACATGTTATGTCTACTAAGAATTTTCACTCTTGAATTTGTATGTATGTTTTATTGTTACTCAACATTTTACTTTGTTTTCAACTTGGATACTGTCAACTCTGGGAACTCTTATCACACCACTGTCTTTTTAGATTATAGCTGATGTTATGTTCACTTTCAATTCTCAGTTGTCCACATTGGTGATAAAAGAGAAATGCCAGTATCCTTATATCACTTTGGTATGTCTTCATGAACTCATATATTCATCCTCATACCCCCTTGGTTAATCCCAAATTTGGTGGCCTGAAACTTCACAGAGACATAAAATTAAGAAATTAAGCCCAGTTGCTGGATTACTAAAAGCTACAAATATTTATGTATATGAATGTTAATTTAGGTCAACAACTTTAAACTCCTAGTTGCCATTTCAATCTTTAAGGTAATGCCTCTTTTTAATATTGTACTTTTTTTCTCATTTAGTTAGCTGGGTAAACCATGATATCCTAAGGAATAAAAACAAGTTACAACTTACTCATTAAACAATAATGGAGTACAGTTGGTTCTAGATGGTCATGTCTGTCCATACATGTTAAAAAGGCTTCTGTTCTCCCTATATCACTTGACGGGGAACTGACAGGTGAAGATGTGTTAGTCACATTAAATGGCTTTGGACTATGTGGTCAATATGTGGACTGAATTTAACTGTGATTGAAAGTTGCATTTAGCTCTCAAAAACCACTGAAAAAATCAAGTAAACATGGGCAAAACAGGGAAACCAATGTTGTCTTTGTGCCAAATTTTAAAAATAAAGAGAAAAAAGAAAAGTGTTCTAGCCAACGATAGAATGAAAATTTAAAGGTGTGGTTTAAAGTGTCATTTGTTGTCACATGTTATTAAATGCCACATACTCAGTACTGTAGGAATCAACCATGCAAGAGGTATGGCTCCTGTCCCTAATGAGAATGAGGAGAAAAAAGTGCAAGATATAATCTAAGTGCTCAGTTATGTCAAGAGCACAGAGAATGGGGACCTTAAGGAACTGGAAGAGTCAAGAGTAGCTTCATGGAGGAGGTCAGATAGGATCCCAGAAAAAAATTAAATAGTGAGGAGATTGTGCCAGGCTACTGAGTGGCAAAGACCATAGTATAGTCCCTTTGAACGGGGGTGTGGCAGAGCTGGCAGCTATAGATGATTGTTTTCTTCAAAGTGACCCTTTGAAAAACCTCAAGTGACCCCAGTTTAGCTCTTTGTCTTTCTGTCTCCGTGAGGAAGACAAAATGTCCTTTCCCATATTCCTCTGTCTGGAGCAGCCTCATGCTCAGCCACAAAATCCAAGTTGCTTTAAAGCCACATTAGAACCATTAATTTAGACATTTGCCAATGCCCAGAACCATGAGACATTGTTCAACCTAATGTCACCCAGGCAGATGTGACCCAGAGATTTTTCTGTAGCTCCATGTTTCCTGTAAAAGGAATGAGAAATGCACAGATAAAAACCCTCCTTTGTACACCGGCACTTTTGGCTCCTTCGCAGTGACTGCACTGTGGAACTCTTCTTGAGAAAATAGTGACAACAGCTTAACGCTTTCGTATAGTGATCGTGATGTTTAGTTGAAAACTACTGCTGCATAGCAAATATTGTGACTTCATGTGTCCACAGGAGCGCTTGTCTGGGTTTAGAGCTATAAAGTGTATTCACATTGTGAAGTTTTAATTATCTTTATTGAAATTAATTGTGTAAAAATTGGTATGTGCTCTATTAGGTATTCAGTTTGTATGTGAATTCTGTGTGGAAAGTGGTTTTTGTTCTTTGAGTTTATCTTGTTTTATTTTTTGAAAACTACAATAAATATCTAAGAGACTATATTCCTGCATTTCTCAGCTTCAGTTGGATTAATTTTTTTTATCTCCTTCAATGCATGTTATTTTTGGTCTTAGGATGCCTATTTTCACTTCATCAGCAGCCTAGGTACAACATAAAGCTTGAACTAGAGACAGGATTAGTACACTTTCATTTAGGGCTCTGAGTATCCAACATGTGAATTTGGAATGAAGTGTAGGAGGAATGTCCAATACTTGCAATCTTGTAAGGTGGGTAAATTTGATGTGACCTGACTATGTTCTAGAGTTACAAAGGCCTTGTTGGTAGAATCGAGAAGAGCTTCTAAGAGTATTAAAAAGTCATCTTGGCTACCTGAAGATTGCATATTCCTATTCCAGAAGTCTAAGGCCTGATGATAACTTTGCAACCTATTGGCACAATCTAGAAGAGGAGCAGTCACCAGGAGCAACGCATGGATGAGATGGATGAGGGGCACACACCACTTTATGCATGGCGCTTGATGCAGTGATGAACAGCACACAATGTCCTTGATCATAGACCTTAGGACAGTTACCAATCCAGCCACACCACAAGTACTTTTGAGATATCTGAGGGTCCACTTCTGTCTGGCTCTGGCCTTTGAATAGCTCCCAGGCACACTCTACCTCTTGATTCTCTTATTTCTCCTTCAACTTTACACTCACCTAGTCCATAGAATCTTTAGTCTGGCAGAGACTAACTCTTCATCTTTTCTTCCTAATTGGTTATTAATCCCCTCTATCCTTTACATGCTATTTTTAGTTGAATTCACAAACAACTTCAACTATTAGTTATATATATTCTCTATGCAATGCATTACTTCTCTATTAAAGCAATTTTGCTAACTAAATGGAAGGAATGCAAAGGGTATGGGAAATACATGGAAGGTGGATGTTAGAGGAAAATCTGGGTTAATATTTCAAAAAAACATCCTACCAATTACAATATAATTTGATTGCTGCAGGTAGAGGTTAAACACAAGCTTTTGTGTTTATGATGATAATTGAAATTATCAATTTCAATTGATAATTGTTTCACATAATAACAGAGCCAGCTAGGAGCTAGGGTGCTGTACATGTGTAGGTGTCTGAGGAAGGCAAACTCACACAGGAGCCTTGAAAATGGAATAGCACTGTGGTCTGACTATGGTGGGTCCCCTCTGAAACTCATGTTGTGAGGCAATAAAAAGATGAAAACTTAATTCAGCTGTGCTATTCAGAGATGGAGCCTTTGGGGGTGACTTTGATTACACTAGATCATGAGCCTGGAGTCCCCATTTTTGCATGCTGGTAACTTATGAGTAGAGAAACTAGAGATATGTGGCTACTCCCTGCTTCTTGCCACGTGAAGCCCTGTGTCAACTTGGGACTACAACAGCAAGAAGGCCATCACCAGATGCCCCTTTCCAACCATGGATCCCAAACTTCTCTTTTTTCTAGCTTACCCAGTCTGTTGTACTATACTCTTAGAAACAAAAAATTGACTAAGGCAATTGATCAAAGAGATGGACATACAATTAAGGGAGAGTGAGACAGAAGAAGCCAAGAGACATCAAAATTCTGAGGAAGAAGTCATTTAAATTTTTATATGATATAAGTTGGTATAAAAATTACCAGTCAACTTGACAGGAACAGTTTTAGAGGGAGAAGGAGAACAAAAACAGCACTAGGTGGAAAAGCAAATAGTAATAAGCAAAGGGAACAAGGCATTCTTTCAGACAATATGTAGAAGAGAGGGTTTTTGAATGGGGATTGTCAAAATTATTTAATTTCCCAATGGGAGACTAGCATATTATATGTCAGAAAAATCCAATAAAGATGGAGTTTAAAGACGTGAGAAAAAAAATCAATATGATCTCCACCCAAGTCCAATTGTCTCATCCCTGTTACAGCTTCTTCTTCCCCATTCACCTTATGAAGACTGCCTATGCAGTTGTCTTGATTTATTCCTGTCCTAATATTTTCACTGATCTGTTGCACAGTTTCCAACAAGCACTAATTCTGAAATCAACAACAGCTATCTTTTTTGAGTTTTATACTGTAACCGATACTTGAAAATTGTCTTTATTATAATTTACAAACTAACCAAGAAAAGGACTCCCTCATATGGATACATAGTTAATGTAACAGAAACCAGAAATAGTCTGTTGAGTGGTGGCAAGCCCAACTGAGCTTAGGGGTCAGATTCTCACCAATTTTCCGGCTGTTTGCTGGAAAGGGGAAGGCAATCTCCAGTTTCTCAAAGTTGGTGAATACTCCTTTCTACTTTTTTCTCCTCATTTGGATGTGCCAGGTGTGATGTATTCCCAGCAGCCTACATTACTTTAGAACAAGAATAAATTAGCATTTCCTTCAACATCTTTTTGTCCTTGCCTCTATTCAAAGAACAGAAAGGCCAAAAGACAGGAGTCACCTAATGGAGAGAGCAAGCTAAAATTAGACCTAAAAAGAGCATGCTACAGGGACACTGCTACATCGATGTTCATAGCAGCACAGTTCACAATAGCAAGACTGTGGAACCAACCTAGATGCCCTTCAATAGACGAATGGATAAAAAAAATGTGGCATTTATACACAATGGAGTATTACTCTGCATTAAAAAATGACAAAATCATAGAATTTACAGGGAAATGGATGGCATTAGAGCAGATTATGCTAAGTGAAGCTAGCCAATCCCTAAAAAACAAATGCCAAATGTCTTCTTTGATATAAGGAAAGTAACTAAGAACAGAGTAGGGACGAAGAACAGGAGAAGAAGATTAACATTTAACAGGGATGAGAGGTGGGAGGGAAAGGGAGAGAGAAGGTAAATTGCACGGTAATGGAAGGAGACCCTCAGGGTTATACAGTGGAGGGGGTAGAGAGAGAGGAGGGGAGGGGAGGGGAGAGGTGGGGAGGGGGGAGGGTGGATGATGGGAAAGGCATCGGAGCACAACAGACACTAGTATGGCAATTTGTAAATCAATGGATGTGTAACTGATGTGATTCTGCAATCTGTGTATGGGGTGAAGGTGGGAGTTCATAACCCACTAGAATCAAAGTGTGGAATATGATATGTCAAGAAATTTGTAATGTTTTGAACAACCCACAATAAAAAATTAAAAAAAAAAAAAAAAAAAAGCCAAAAATCAAAAAAGAAAAAAATAAAAAAATAAAAAAATAAAAGGAGATTTAAAATAGAACTTTGGAGGCAAGAGGGGTATTGATGATGGAAATTTTGGAAACTGGCATAACCATAGCCATGCAATGAAAAGATGACATTCACAAGAGACCATCTGTTGATGTTTGAGCTATAGGGGAAGTCAGGACGGGAGAAATAGAAAATCCAGTGGTCCATTTTCCCAATACAATATTTAGCTTTACATGTAAAATTACCTAGGATGTAACAAGGTGGTTGGAGGATAGAGAAGAATGAAAAGCTACAAGCAGAGTTTAAAAATTCACAGCCCCTTGACAATCAGGTGAGAAGAACACCCCTCCCACACACACACATACACACTCCTGACCAACAAAAATAAACTGTATAAATGCCAAAAGACACTCAATCCAAGGGGACATTCCTGACACAAGAGAACAAAGGGAAATGGGGACAACTAAAGGTATATTTATTTAAATAACCCAATAAGAGATAGTAAAACCTAGGCGATGTTCAGGAAGACTGGACACCCCATAATACTCAGCCAAGGAGAAACACAGGGAGGGACCTTGCACTTTAGGGGATAAAAGGCTGCTGTATCCAATCTATGTGTTCCTGAGCACCAGGCACCTACCTTATGAGACTGTCATTAAAGTAAAGCCTCACTTTTTGCTGTATCTTGTGTCTCTTACACCATTCATTGGGCTTGGACAGGTAAGTGTGTCTCTCACAGGAGGCAAGAAGAGAGTATTTCATTCTGATGGATATTTGAACAAGTTACCTAGAAGTCAAAAGCTATCTTAAAAGAGATGTGGTATATCTTATAAATTGCATTAGATTCTCAGATACCACAAAATAAAACTCTACAACTACAAATAGAGTTTTGACAAAAACACTCTTATGATTTTTAAAACTATGTTATCAAAAACTGAAAAGGACCTAAAGAAAGGACCTAGAACATTCCATTTCTCTGTAGTTTAAAATACTACTCTGAAGGCCTACTTATGCATTTCCTGAGAATGCTTTTCTTAGTAGCCTCCTAGAATACTATAACTCTCTGTAAAAGGCCTTCTCAGAAGAGGATACACAATCAATCAACAAACATATAAAAATTCTCAATATCTGTAGCAATTAGAGAAGTGCAAATCAAAACTACTTTAAGATTTCATCTCACTCCAGTCAGAGTGGCAACTATCAAGAATACAAACAACAGTAAGTGTTGGCAAGGATGTGGCGGAAAAGGCACACTCATACATTGCTGGTGGGACTGCAAATTGGTGCAACCAATATGGAAAGCTGTATGGATATTCCTTAGAAAACTTGGAATGGAACCACCATTTGACCCGGCTATCCCACTTCTCGGTTTGTACCCAAATGACTTAAAAACAGCATACTACAGGGACACAGCCACATCAATGTTTATAGCAGCACAATTCGCAATAGCTAAACTGTGGAACCACCCAGATGCCCTTCAGTAGATGAATGGATAGGGAAACTTTGGTATATTTACAAATAGAACATTGCTCAGTATTAAAAGAGAATTAAAATCATGACATTTGCAGGTAAATGGGTGGAGTTGGAGAATATAATGCTAAGTGAAGAAAGCCAACCGCCCCAAACCAAAGGCTGAATGTTTTATATGATATGAGGATGCTGACTCATAATGGCGATGGGAGCTGTGGCGGGGGGGGGGGGGGGGGGGGATAAAGCATGGGAGGAATGGAGGAACTTTAGATAGGGCAAAGGGGAGGGAGGGGGGAGTAGGAAAGACAGTGGAATGAGTTAGATGTCATTACCCTAAGTACATGTATGAAGACACGAATGGTGTGAAAATACTTGGTGTACAACCAGTGACTTGAAAAATTGTGCTTT